AGGATTGTGCGGAAAGTACTGGATCAGTATATGAGCAAGAAGTGGGGACCGATTCGCTGTTGGAATTGCGGACAGATGGGAAATCGTTGCAAAGAAGAGAAAGAAGTGAAAGTTAAGGACGACCGTGGTTGGTGATAGTTGGCAAACCGAAGATCTTGCAAATGACCAAATCAGCGATCCAGAGTTGGGCTTGGTGATTAATTGGAAAAACGCGGACCAGAGACCAACGTGGGAGGAAGTTTGCAGATATTCGCCGAACGTGAAGTCGTACTGGTCCCAGTGGAATTCATTGGTAATAGATAACGGATTACTTCGCCGTGTGATTGATAGACCAGAGAGACAAGAAGAGAGAAGGCAGATCGTCATTCCAAAGAAGAGGTTTACTCACTGGGATGTTTAGTGCAGTCCAGAGGCAAGAAGGGTTCTCCTCAGGAGGGGAACTATGTATATAGATTGGAATTCGTGTAAAATAGACGAGCGGATCTCTATAACAAAGTGTTTTAAATGCCAGGGCTATGGACACGTAGCTTCCAAATGTAATAATAATATAGTATGTGGTTTCTGTGCGAAGGAACATGACTCACGAGTTTGCCCAGCACATATGTATTTTATGCTTAAATGCTAAGGAAAATGCAAAACATAAGCCTAGAGACTAATATAATAAGTGTATTTCGTATAAACGAAAACTTGAGGCTTTCATCACCAATATAGATTTTGGAGATGGAGAGATTTAATACAGGAAAGCTAAAGATTTGTCAACAAAATGTACATAACCATTATGTAGCAACTTTAGAGTGTATAAATAACTGCATCAGGAATGGGACGGATATTCTATTACTTCAGGAACCCTAGGTATACGTCCAGCAGATTCAATAAATTCTTTGTCCTTGGCCTTGCCGGGGCAAGATTAGTGGCTGACAGGAACATTCAATTTAGATTTTGTGTCCTAATATTTAATGCTTCACTAAATATACCTCAAATCAATGGTTATACATCAGTGTCAAAGATAAATATATCTCTACTACTCTGGCGTCTTTTGGTGCCTTTTTTATTAACCTCATTTCGATATATTGGCCTCTCAGGAATGAGTTTAATATTAACTATTACTTGGATAAGTTAAGAGTTTTTATAAGAGACTCAAGAAAACCTGAGGTCTGTGGAGCTGATGCGAACACGAAATATCCACAATGGTTCTCTGGACAAACAGATCAAAGAGAAGAAAATTTTTTTTGTTATTTTCTTAACGAACTTGATCTATTCACCTTGAATAAACGTTCGACTTTAACAACATTCTATGACGCTGCGGCTAGCAGCAATATAGATGTTATATACGCTAGGTTCTCAAGAAATATTAAATAGGCTAGATTCGTGGTCTATTATTGATAACAATTTAAGTGATGATAGACTAATATCAATGGTCCTACATACTGGAGTTATACAACATAAAATTCAATATGTTTGATGTAAAGCTAATATTAGAGTTAATAAAGCTTTGGATATGGCTATTATTGGAGTAGCTCGTCTGGATATAGTCCCTTGACTCCATCAGTCATATAGAGGAAAGGGCCGTGAATGTAACGTTGCTTTTACAGACCACCACTAATGAATGTATTCCATGGAGGAGAAAATATGAGAACGAACCCAAATGGTGGAACGATTCTATTGATCGTCTTCGAGTCAGGACCAACTTATCTCGCAGAACATTTTTTTTGGTTTGTGAAGGGTGGCTCGACTGAAGGTGCTTTAGGACGGGTACATACTACCCTAAGTGAATCCCGGAAAAATACAGGTCAGTTGTATTTTTGGACATTCAGGGGGCGTTCAATAATGTTTGGTGGCCGAGTGTTTTGAATAGATTAAGATCCAGAAATTGTCCTGTATGTACACCTGTATGTAGAGTGTAGCTCCTGCAGTTAGTAGCAGTTAGTAGCAGTTCCTTAGCTACTTTTCGAACTGATCCATTGAATTCATATTTGGTAACTCTGTGGTAACGCACTAAAATGTATGTGATTGTATGTAAATTTTTCGATTTCTCCAGATATCTTGTATAACATATAATCAAATGTTGCTTGTATAATCAAAGGTCTCTTAAATGGCTTAAATGGTGTGTAAATAAAGATATTCTCTAAATTTATTTTGAAATGCCTTGATCGTTTGAAATAAATGAAAGTTAAAGCTAGGACTTTTTTTATGTAAGAAAGGTACTCTTCGTTTTAGTCATGGGTAACAGTCTAAAGTTTCGTGTGTTGATACAGTAACATTGATCTTTTTGGGTATCAATACAGTGTATCAGCACGATTGTGTCATATGACATAGTAGTGAATCAGCATTATTTCAGATTAACACACACAGCTGGTTTCGCGTCATGGTTTCTCGCGCTCACCGTCGACACCGCACGGCTGAAGCTTGGGACTCAATGTTGCCAAATGATGAAAAATTGAGTATTTTGAAATACCAAAAAAATTAAACATATTTTTTGATAATCTAGCGTAGTTTCATGTACAATGTTATATAATATAGAAGTACAGGTCTACTTCTAAGCACCTTGAAGAGCTAAAGTGGTCTTTGATATTAGAAAATTACTGCACACACCTTAATAAAAGGATGGATTTAATCAATAACAATAAACAAAAAAATATAGATATTAGGCGCCAGGCATGTACAGAGAAAGAAAACACAGTTGTATATTACTTAAAACTAATGACTATATTTCATGATGTTCTTTGCTGGTACATGACATTGTAGAATTCTAATAAATATATAGTGGTTATATGTCAAAAAAAAATGGTGTTAAGAGTTGTACTAAATATCTATGAAAGTAATACCATTACAAGACGTAATGTAATGAAACCTAAGATCTAAATCATATTTTAAATATTAAATCGACATGAATGTTCTTAACAATCTAACCACTAAACATAGTCTGTACGATATTACTTAAGATGTACGTTATTGTTTAAGACTGAAAATGTTTTAGATGTTAAATGTAAAACTAGAACTTAAATCTACACTTAGCTGTTCTTTATGTAATCTTGCTTCAAACAGTAACAGCGTGAGGTGGTCTCGCATCTCTGTACTCGGCCATCCAATACAACAAAAGGGGCCAGAATGAGGACACCATGAATTGATACAGCCGTAACTATTAACTAAGTTATAGATGGGAACGAAGCCGTATGGGGCTCAAGCTACATCCACGCTGGGGCACTTCATATGTAAGAAAAATCACTCCTACTGTGGACACTCGTCCACAGGACATCCGTACATAGGATAATGGTATAAGGGAACACTACCCGTACCTTGGATACTACTAGAACCTTGGATAACGCCCGTACCTTGTAAATAGTCTGTACCTTGGATACAGTCCGTCCATGAGACAATGTACGTCCATAAGATAATGTACGTCCATAAGATAACGGTACAGGGGAACACTACCCGTACCTTGGATATTACTAGGAAGTTGGATAATGCCCGTACCTTGTAAATAGTCCGTCCATAAGACCCTAAAAATACGAAATTCTTGTTTAAAACCAAACAAGATCTAATAAACAAAATAAACCTATCTCGAAACACTTCCGAGGGCTCAATAATAAACAAAAGAACTGTCCTTTCCATTAACATTCTGGAGGACAACAGCAAAAGTACACCAACGTATCAGCAAAATACAAATACGAGTTAAGGTGGGTCAATCCAAAACTCTACCCTAAAAATATGCAGTAATAATATCGAATCTAAAAGGATAATATCTCATCTTTACCTGTTGGTTTGAAATAGCAGCTGATTCAAATTATACAGCAAGATTTAAATAATCACCATTTCTAAAAGCCGGGATACAACAGAGCGGCAAAACAAAGTGAGGTTAAGCACGGAGAGAGTTGACAGAAGCGATGTTGACAGCGCCTCCTCAGAGCGATAACAAGGTTGTGTCAAACGATAACAGGGTTGGCACTAGGGAACGTAAAAATTACGCCAAGTGTACCAAATAAATTATCAGGCCTGAACGATACGGAATCCGATGACGATACGCCAGACATCATATTTATCATATATAAAAAAAGACATGTAACGAACTAAAAACGTTACACTAATTATATTTGAATCGAACATTTTTTAAATTTTTATTACAAACAGGAAATATAAGCAATAAAAAAAGAGAGGAGGTATGGATATTTCATATCTTTAGTGACCTCACATTGTAACACAGAACTATTATATAGCGCCCCTCTTGGACCGGACCGATCGGACGAGTCCATTATCAAGAGAGCGAGGGACAGTAGGAAGAAGAATAACATATGATTAGTATCTTAAGTAGTGTGAAAGTATTGTCACGTAAAGTTTATTAATAAAAGTGTTTGTTAAATTCTTCGAGTTTTGTCACAAAATTTATGGTTCGACACCCCACAAAATAAATGTAACGGAACCCCGTCACAAATTTGGCGCCCAATCGTGGACCATAAAAGGTGAAAAATCGTAGAATTGTTCCAAAAAACCGAAGTCTTGCAGTCATAGTATTTCGCCCCGAATAAGCCTTTGCAGTCGTAAAGCAATACCGGATCTTTGGCAATCCTTTCAGCAGGTTTCATCCTTCAAGGTTTCATCCTTTCAGGCAAAAGCTTTTATTAATCAATTCTTTGAAAATTATTGCTCAAGAAGAGGTTAATCCCGCCGAATCGTTAGTTGTGACGTCACACGCCCAAAAAAGTCAGGAGCGATACCGCGTATCCAAATCATTCTTGACGTGACAACAATCGTTTTGGAAGAAAATCCTTGGATTGGACAGAAATTTGTTTTGCTCCCAGTTCTCCACGAAATTTGAATTCGCGAATGGTTTAACTGATTAAGGACTAACAAAACACTCAGCTAAGACTTTCTTTTACATCAGTGTGCTCACGGTTCAAGAAAATCAACAGTATTTATAAATACCCATCGAATTCTGTGCAACCACGGACACAAACAGATATAATTTACGTTCCCGTCAGAACTACCCTCAAAATAACGAAAACATGACGCCAATAACAATGAGCGATGAACAGTTTCAACAACTCTTAGCCAGACTTTCCGTAGGTAATCAAAATCCTACTCAAGTTGCTTCAGCTCAAAATGGAAATATTACTGGTTGTTTATCGAGATTTGATGGTGGAAAAATCTCCAATGTTCAAGCATTTATTGATTCCGTATCGATATATAAAGACTGTGCGCAAGTATCAGATGAAAATGCGTTGAAAGGACTTCCGATGTTACTAGATGATTTCTCTGCCGAATGGTATCAAGGTGTAAAAGCTACCATAAGTACCTGGAAAGAAGCAATTGATCTTTTGAAGCTTACGTTTGGACCGCAAAGACCTGCCTATCGTGTGTATCGTGAATTATTTGCAAATGAACAAGATAAAGTACACCTACTGACATTTTCGTTTGTAAAGCCCGTTCTACGCTAGCACAACTTCCAAATAATACGCTAACAGAAGAAATTCAATTAGACATGGTATATGGACTCCTACATCGAAGAATACGTGAAAAACTTTCTCGCAACAAAGTCAACAACTTCAACGAACTTCTATCCCAAGCTAGACTAGTTGAAGAAACGTTTGAATGCACCGACTCACGAAATGAAAAGACAAACGTCCACGCAGGCAAAGATAAACGTCCAAGATGTCTGTATTGTCGTAATTTTGGCCATGTAAAAGACGACTGTCGCAAGCTGAAGAAAACTCAGTCAGCAAATTCAAGAAATTCTGTACCACAACCAACTGCTTCAAGTAACAAAGCTGTACTTCAAAAAGAGCCCAAGAATAATGATGGTATTGCGTGCTATGGATGCGGAAATCCAGGTTACATCAGAAGCAACTGTCCAAAATTTTCTCCGAAGAAGAATGAAGATGACCATTCTGTGATGAGTACCGAATTCCTCTGTAACACAACCAACCACGAATCATCATTGACTAGGCCGTTGGTTCCCATAAGTATACATCAGCATAATGGATATGCTTACTTAGATACAGGTGCAAAATCCAGTGTTGCCGGATCTGCATTAGCTCAGCTACTATTAAAAGACAATATACCATACATTATCAAGAACGACCTTGAAATGACACTTGCTGATGGTATTAGAAGAAAAGTTACCGTCCATATTTTTGACATTGAAATCATATTTCATGGAAGAAGTGTTCCTATAAAAATGTTAGCTGTCCCAGAACATCAACAGTCGTACATTACTAGGTGTAGACTTTATTCACAAGGCTAACGTTATCCTTGATATTCCATAAGACATACTTCTTTGGTGAAAATCCACATGAATGTTACAACTTTACAGCAGAGGAGTCTGTTTCGCTAGTCTCAGTCAACACTGTAACCTTTTCTCAGATAATTCTACGAGACGAAGAAGGTAGTTCTTTGCAACCAGAAGAAAGAAAGAACTTAAATAGTCTCTTACAAGAAAATCATACAGTCTTCGAGAGTAGTAACGAACCAACTCCTTACGCAGAACATTGCATCGTTTTGACAGATGACAATCCCATCGCAGTTCCTCCATACCGAATGTCAGAACCGAAGAAGATACAACTCAAGAACGAACTTGACAAATTGCTCGAAAATGGTACGATAGAAGAATGTGACTCACCTTACGCCGCTCCAGTTGTTTTAGTAACTAAGAAAGATGATGGAATACGCTTAACTGTAGACTACAGAAAGTTAAACGCCGTAACGAGATCGTGCAAATATCCGTTGCCAAGAATCGATGATCTGCTTCATGAAGCTAAGAAAACACATTACATGACTACCCTAGATCTGAAAAGCGGTTATCACCAAGTTAATGTCAAAGCCTCAGATCGAGATAAGACAGCTTTTATTACCCCTTTTGGTACGTACACATATATCAGAATGCCCTTTGGACCTTCCACAGCGCCTTCAACGTTTCAAAAGTTGATGGATCGTTTCAAATCTGGAATACCTGAAGTTCTCCTATTGGCCTACTAGATGACTTAATCGTAATTTCCTCAAGTTTTTGAAGAGCATCTAGTTGATCTTCAGAAGGTATTTAAAAGACTTAACACCTTTAAACTGAAATTGAATAGGAAGAAATGTTTCTTTTGCTGTAAATCTGTTCGATACCTTGGACATATTATTTCTCCCGAAGGTGTACAACCCGACGACTCAAAAGTTGAAGCGATAATGAAGATGACGCCGCCCAAAAACGTTAAGCAGTTGCTCAGTTTCCTGCAAACTTGCTCTTGGTTCAGGAGATTTATCCACAATTTTGCTGAAGTATCCAAACCGTTGTCGATGCTTATGAAAAAGAATGCAACTTGGAATTGGAAACTACCACAACAAGAAGCATTTGATCAGCTAAAAGTGTTGCTAAGTTTAACCCCAATCCTACGTCAAGCAGATGCGAAGTTACCATATATACTACGCACTGATGCCAGTAGCTATGCTCTGGGAGTATGTTTACTCCAGGGGAGGGCGCAGACGAACGACCTGTTGAATACGCATCAAGATTGTTAACAACCGCTGAACAGAACTACACCACTACAGAACGAGAAGCTCTTGCTATTGTTTGGGCAATCCAGAAATTTCGCGGATATGCAGAAGGACTGTAGAATTCTTGTTCAGAGCGATCACCACCCACTACGATAGCTTATGTCTTTGAAGACCCCAACCGGACGACTTGCTCGTTGGGCTTTGAGCTTACAAGCGTTCGATTTACATATAGATTACATAACTGGAAAGAAGAATGTAATTGCCGACACCCTGTCCAGACCTGTTCTTAACGAGTCACCTGATTCCATCAACATGATTAGTGTTGATATGCCTAGTAAACCCGCTAGTGACGTTAGAGCTGAACAACTAGAAGATCCAGATCTTCGTAAAATCATTACTGACCTAGAATCCTCCGCCACTAGTACTGACTTCAAGAAATGGGCTGAACGTGGATATATAATGTCAAACGGAATTCTATTTCGTTATAATCCAGATATTGACGAAGAAGAACCGCAATTTTATCAAACCGCAGGACACTATGGTATTGAACGTACTTACCAACGCATTGCACGAAGATACTATTGGATGGGAATGAGAAGAAACATAACCGATTATGTTGGACAATGTATCGAATGCAAAAGGTATAAACCAACCAACTTAAAACCTGCTGGTCTCTTACAAACTCCGATACAAGCACAAAGATTTGAAGTTATTTCCATAGACCTTTTTGGTCCTCTGCCAGAAACTCCTGATGGATATCGTTGGATCTTTATTGTTGAAGACACCGCAAGTAGATGGACTGAATTGTTCCCTTTAAAAACTGCTACAGCTGAGGCATGTGCACGCTGCCTGACTGATGAAATAATTCTTAGATATGGAGTGCCCAGGAGAATTATTAGCGACAATGGAGTACAATTCGTAGGCTCTATTATGCAAGAATTAGCCCACTGTTTAGGATTTAAACAATGTTTAACACCTGTCTACCACCCAGAATCCAATCCTGTCGAAAAAAAGAACAGAGATCTAAAAACGCAATTAGCTATACTTACCTCAGATGATCATACATCATGGATAGACAAATTACCTGCTGTAAGATTTTTCATGAATACCGTAAAATGCCAATCCACTGGATACACAGCAGCTTTTCTCACATTTGGACGTGAATTAAGGACCCCAGATGACGTAAACCGTGATATGCGAGTTATAGTCCAAACCGACAATTTTGTACCGCAAATCACGCCTTATCTACTTACCTTAAGTAATAATCTGCACGAAGCACGAGAAAACCATGGGAAGAACCAAGATCGACGCACTAATATAAAGAATGAACATAGACGACCTTATAATTACTCAGTTGGAGATAAAGTATTAGTGACCACTCATGTTCTCAGCAAAGCAAGCAACCAATTCACATCGAAGTTTGCTCCACGATGTGATGGCCCTTTCTTGATTCAGAAGATAGTGAGCCCTACCACATATATCCTTAGTTCCACGGATAAACGGTATCAACCACTGGGAAAGTATCACACCTCAGCATTGACCCCATACCAGATCTCGGAAGAAAGAAACCTTAACCCTCTTCAACCTTTACGTAATCGAGGCAGACCACCGAAGCTGAGTTCCGACAGTTCCCACACCCTGAAGGACACAACGATTCCTCAAAATGATTTTGACTCCGTAGAACAAACCCCGACATCAGCCGAACATCCATTTCCGGCCATTTCACCCTAGAAAGAAGATCCAGAAGAAATGCATCCGTTGCTCCACCCGCGAGGACGCCAGTGTGGTGCAAAGGGGGAGAATGTAACACAGAACTATTATATAGCGCGCCCCTCTTGGACCGGACCGATCGGACATTAGAGAGTCCATTATCAAGAGAGCGAGGGACAGTAGGAAGAAGAATAACATATGATTAGTATCTTAAGTAGTGTGAAAGTATTGTCACGTAAAGTTTATTAATAAAAGTGTTTGTTAAATTCTTCGAGTTTTGTCACAAAATGTATGGTTCGATACCCTACAAAATAAATGTAACGGAACCCCGTCACAACATTCATTTTTTTTAAATTTATAGCAGCATGGCACCCAAAAGAAGTCAAATCTGGAGTCACTTCTCTGACGATAATGGGAAGGTAAAATGTTCTTATTGTGGGTAAATCCTGTCTGTGAAAAATAAATCAACGTCCTCCCTTATTCGACATATGACCAACAAGCATCCTACCTACAGTAGGCAAGGAGTATTAGAACCTCACCTTGCAGATAATGATGATGGAAACCCCATCAACTTCTGCCCACACTGCACAGCAATCGACAAAAGAGGGAGAAGTCGCTTCGTCTACATCTACATCAACCACGAAACAAGGACAACCAGCACAATCATTAAGTGTGAGTACATTACAGGCCATAACCAGTTTTTTCCAAAAACCTCTGTAACTAAGCAAACAAAAAGAAATTGACAAACAGTTAATTTGTATGATAACTAAAGAATATCATCCCTTTAGTATCGTAGAAGATGAGGAATTTAGACGATTATAAAACCTATTAAATCCTAGTTATAAAATTCCAACGAGGAAAACCGTGCCAAATTCCTTGATTCCTTCTTTCCACAACCAAACGGTTGACCGTATAAAAGAGCGAATACAAAGAGCTTTTGCGGTATGCTTTACAATGGACGGATGGACCTCAAGATCAAATGACAGTTTTTTAGCGTTACCGCTCATTATATTGCGGAAGAAGAGAAAAGAACCATTCTCACTTCAGATTTGCTAGGATGCATATCATATACTGAAAGGCATACTGCGGAAAATATTAGCAATGTGCTTAAAGATGTATTAAATGAATGAAAAATCTCCAACAAAATTGCTGCTATTGTCTCTGACAATGCAGCGAATATGAAAGCGGCTGTGCGTCATGGTAGTTGGGGATATTGTAGCTGTTTTGCCCAGTCCTTAATTTTAGTTACCCAGTCCGGTTTGGGTGAAATTAAAGATGTTGTTAATAAAATAAAGATAATAGTTACTTATTTCAAAAGAAGTAGTCACGCATCTGCACAACTCAAAGCTGCTGCAGAGCGTATGGACATGACTCCGTTAAAGCTGAAAAATGACGTAGTAAGCACGTTGGAACAGCACATATGATATGATCGTCAGATTTTTAAAAATGAAAAATGCCATTAGTACTACATTAGCCATTTTAAATACTTCGTCCCATAGGACTCAGCTTGGTGAACTTGAATCAATTTGTCAGTTAGAAAATGAAGCATGGATTTTAGCAGAACAAGCCATAGAGGCATTTGAAATATGTAATTTAGTTACAATCGCCATAAGTACAGAAACAAGTATTAGTGCATCCACTATCATATTTTATTACAAGCAAATCGTAAAACATTTAAATAAATTTGATGTAAATAAGAGCCTGCCTCAGATCTATGACTTAGTTAAAAAAAACTCCAACTGGAACTAAAAAACGATTTCAAGACATAGAATCGAACAATTTGATAGATCAAGCTACTATATTAGATCCCCGATTTAAAAAAAATGGGTTTATAGATGAAAATAAGTTCAGAAAAGCTCTGGAGATTCTCTATACCGAGGTGAGGAGTACCAAATTGTTACATCCAACTTTAGAAAATATAAACGATACCAATATTACTGAAAGTAACAGTAAACAAGACATACATTTTCCATCTGAAAACCATGATGCTCTTCAAAGTTTATGGCAAGATTTTGATATGGAAGTTCAACATCATCTGAAACCGAATAATCCAAGAGCATCCGGTATTGTTGAAGTAGATAAATATTTAGATGGACATTTTACCTAGAAAGGATAGCTCAGGAATATGGCAAGATCCTTTTGTATGATGGCATCACAGGAAACATATTTATCCAAGTTTATACCAAATAATGAAAACAAGACTGTGTATTATGGCTACATCGGTCCCGAGCGAAAGAGTATTTTCAAAAGCAGGACAGATAATTAATGAAAAACAGGAAAGATTAAAAACAAATAAAGCATCACAGGTGATATTTTTAAGTTGTAATTTGAACAATAACCGTTAGTTTTATGTTTTCTAAGTAATTCGACGTTCCTGTTTTTTTACCAAATATTATGTTTATAAAATAATAGTCTAGTATTAGAATGGATGTTTATTTTTATTAATTGTTATGTAAGAATAATAAAATATAAATTTTATGTTTTGTACGGTCCTACTTTTTTGTTTTGTTTTTTGCCAAATTTTTTATGTTTATAAAATAATAGCCAATATTATATGAATGTTTATTTTTATTAATTATTATGTAAAAATAATAAATTATGTTGAATTTTGTTTGATTTTTTTAATAGTTTCCGATAATTATTCTCCCCATACTAACATTCGTATTGGCAACAACGCGCCCGACGCGCGACGTGCCGCAACGGTGCATGGGTTGCCGATACAAACCCGAAACTGAAAGGCTTTAAATCCAATCTCTGTTGCAAGAAACCCTTTCTTTTATCAATAAAATATTTATAATTCTTCACGATAAGAAACAACAAATTCATTATATACTTTCAATTTTTTATTACAATAAAAATCGTGAAGATGCAAACTCGAGTCGTTGACGTCAGATCTGGCTCTCCATCTTCCCATGAGCCATATATTTGAGACGTCCGTAACACATCCGTAATATTTATTTCATAAACAATAATAAATTTAATCGTAGATTTCCACTAATACTGAGTCTGCACAACGGCAAACAATTATTGATGCTCGTGGAACGAACGGCCCCAGCATGACACAATAAAACTGTTTTATTGTGTCATGTATCATGCTGGCATAGGCAACCCAACGAAATGGCACCGCGACCGCGTCTCGATACGATACTCTGTGCGAAAATCTTGCAGTGTTATATTAAGAGTCAGTGGCTGCATTCAGCAGATGAAATACGATTCGTAATCGATTACTTCAGATAAGTAATCGTCATCATATAATTTTATTTCTCCTATATAAACACCTTCTTTTAAATTCTTTGGTTCACGTGAGGGGGTGC